CGCCAGAGGCCATTCAATATCTTCTTGGCTTATGGGGTTTTATACCGCGCCAGAGGCCATGCACACTCATTCAGAATCATTCTCTTGGGTTTCAGTAGGGAAATAGTAAACCAAATAGAATAATTTCAGATTTAGATAAAGTCACAATGTTAATACATCTCCAAAACCCTAATCATGGCCAAAATTCGGCTTGCACTGACTGATAGCTCCTGGTCAACATTCTCACTTATGTGAACACACTTTTCCTTTGTCATAAACAACTTTCTTTAAATGGCGTTAATTTAACTGGAAGGCTAAGTGACAAATAAAATTAGTATATACAGAGTGATCAAAAAGTCAAGCAACGTGTTCCTGGTACATGGTATAAAAATAAAAAACATTGAAATCTGAAAACAAAAACACTTATATTGTGTGTCAGAAATATCCACTGTGCTCAGCGATTCATTCTTTAAATGTCTGAAATAGCCAGTTAAGTGCAACTTTGTTATAGAAACGGTTCATCATACAATATTCTCGATTTCTCTGGCACAGGTGAATCAGAAAATGAATCATTCTGGAAAGTTAAGTTCGAGCGGGATGCCATATGGTGTTTGATGACAAACTCGTTACACTTGAGATGTGACCTCAGTGAACATAGAATTACACATAAATTACTCTACATCATAAGGGGGGTTCACACGGAGTCGTGGACCGGGCGAGAACACGACCAAGAGCACCGGAGGTCGTGCTCACTAGCGAGTGGGAACTAGTGGTCATTGCACAGTTGGTAGTATACGACCTTGAAGACAGCGGTCATAACCACTCCGGCATGTTGGAGTGATCAGGACCAAGTCAGTCGTGTGCCATTTTCGAACACCGCGACTCTGAAGGCGAGAAGAAGCATTTGCGAAGTCAAGTGGGGACTGGAGACCAACGTTATTAAGCAGTCGTGTGACTCACTCAAATAGAGCAGTGTTCTCGCCTGGTCCACGACTCTGTGTGAACCACCCTTTACTCTCAGTGTCTGCTCAAACCTAAAGTATAAACACATCAGGTAATAGTTTTGACATCAAATAAACATTCAATCTTAATGTGACTTAAGAGTCTCCTTTGTTCCGGAGGGCTGAGGCAAGAGATAAGAATGGCCCACAAAAGGCTGGTCCTGTTCCATCTTGGCTTATGGAATGGAGCTTACAGCAGTTGCTGCTTCTTCATCTCAGGTGAGTGCTTGGCTCATCCAAGTTGACATCTGCTGATGCCTTCACTCCTCCATCTAGTCTGTACACTTATACACTCCTATATAACACAGATTGGTAACTGGTACAGTACACATTAAAACGATGGAAACTTTCATCCAGAACTTGACGGTTTAAGGCTTTCAGTTTCATTTGTAAATCCTGAGCAGACATCTTTAAACTGAAATCCACTAAAATCCACAGAGCTTTCACCAAATTAATTAGTGATAATGAACTGCTGAGCGTATAAAATTCCTCTTTTGAAATAAGCACTAATCATATCAGGCTGATACTGACTGTAGGGTAAGTTTGTGATAATTTTGCCCTCACTAGATGGCAAAGTACTCATTGTGATAACAGTTGTGCACTGAGTTTGTCAAGGCAAACACATTAATTTCTACAGTCAATATTCTGCCAGTGTACTAGTAGACTATGTGGGATTTGAGGTTTTCATGGCGGTGAGTCTGAAGATCGCTGTCTTCTGGGTTGTTGTGCTGTGTCGTCTGGTAGATGTCCAACAACATTTCAGAGGTCCACGCTGCCTCCATCATCACGGCGATGAATAAGATATGCGAGAGGAAAGCGCTAGATTTATAGGAACAGGACATTAAAAGGAATAGCCTAATCCCAACCAGTGGGGACTGGTGTCAGAATGAGGCAGGGGGTGGGACCAACAGGAGAGAAGGAAAAAAGGTCTAGGAGACAGCCCTTTTGAGGGCTTCAGGGAGTCCATCTGATGGGACACACTGGAGTTGGGTCAAGATGCAGGGGGGAAGGGAACACTGGGCAGGGCCAGATTTGTCTGGAAAATGGCAGAGTAGTGGTGGGTGGGATAAGCAATGCTCTCTGGGATGCTTCCA